TGCAACTTAAACTGCCAAAATCATTGCATGCTTGTTACAATTCATTCAAGCCTCAGACCCTAAAATTGATATAGAGAGGAATGGGGGCGCGGCAGGACCTACAGGTTCATAGTTCGGTTTTTCCACGCTCACCCTCCACAACTCTATGAGATTACGATGAACAAGGGGATTTGTTTTTTTAGAAGGGTGCACTCCCACTATTTCAAACTTAAATATATTCTGAATAAAAAATGGCTTTCCAGGGCTGGGCCCAGTGGCTCACGTCTGTAATCCCAGCACTTTTTTATTTTTATTTTTTGAGATGGCGTCTCCCTCTGTCACCCAGGCTGGAGTGCAGTGGTGCCATCTCTGCTCACTGCAACCTCCACCTTCTGGGTTCAAGCAATTCTCCTGCCTCAGCCTCCTGAGTAGCTGGGATTACAGGCACAGACCACCATGCCTGGCTGATTTTTTTGTGTGTAGTTTTAGTAGAGACGGAGTTTCATCATGTTGGTCAGGCTGGTCTTGAACCCCTGACCTCGTGATCTGCCCACCTGAGCCTCCCAAAGTGCTGGGATTACAGGTGTGAGCCACCATGCCAGGCCCCCTATAAGCCTTTTCAAGGGCACTAGGCTCAGCCCATGGGATTTCAGAAGCACAATGGCCCTAACACTGTTTTCCAAGGTAGAGACTGCTAAAAGGTGAGATGGAGAAGTACACGATTGATTCAAACAGTGTGACCCAGATACAAACACAGTCCCAACATGCACCAGATATGAAATCTCTGTGCCAGAAACCAGGGTCACTGGCACCATGGAATCAAGAACCATTTTCTCTTTGTAAAGTACTAGGTGCCTAGATCTGCCAGTAAGTATCTGTCAGTTTCCTAGCATACGAATCAGCAAAAGTCAGGGATGACGCAGCAGGAAAGACAGGGCGTTACACGGTGAGCCTCAGCGAAGATCTCAGAGCTGCTGGGCACTAGTGAGGGCCACTTACTCTTTCTTATGACTTGAAGGTAATAAGAAAGGAGAGGTGATGGTTACTGAGCACTTACAATGGCAAAGCTGCTTGAAGCACCAAAGCACCTTCACATGCATTCACTCATGGTACCTGTTTAACTCTGTGACAGTGATTATGAAATGTTTTGGATGGTTTTACACTCTTCTGAGATGGAGTTTTGCTCCTGTTGCCCAAGCTGGAGTGCAATGGTGCAATCTTGGCTCACCACAGCCTCCACCTCCGGAGTTCAAGTGATTCTCCTGCCTCAGCCTCCTGAGTAGCTGGGATTACAGACATGCACCCCCAAGCCCAGCCAATTCTGTATTTTTCTTAGGGATGGGGTTTCACAATGTTGGTCAGGCTGGTCTTGAACTCCCAATCTTGGGTGATCCACCCATCAATCCCAAAGACCTTTTTGTTTATGGTGGTTATATCCACTGATATTTACTGTATTTGAATTTAAAATGGATAAGATAGATATTAATATATTTTAAAACAATACAGCTTGGGCAACATAGCAAGGCTACATTTCTTTTCTTTTCTTTGTTGTTTTTTGTTTTTGTTTTTGTTTTTTTGTTTGTTTGTTTGTTTGTTTGTTTGTTTGTTTGCCAGAGTCTCGCTCAATCGCCAAGCTGGAGTGTAGTGGTGCAATTTCAGCTCACTGTAACCTCCACCTCCCGGGTTCAAGTGATTCTCCTGCCTCAGATTCCCAAGTAGCTGGGACTACAGGCACCCAGCATCGCAACTAGCTAATTTTTGTATTTTTAGTAGAGATGGGGTTTCTCCATGTTGGCCAGGATGGTCTTGATCTCTTGACCTTGTGATCCACCTGCCTTGGCCTCCCAAAGTGCTGAGATTACAGGTGAGAGCCACCGCGCCTGGCCTGCAAGGCTCCATTTCTACAAAAAATAAAAAATTCCATGGGCCCAGTTGTTCACGCCTATAATCTCAGCACTTGGGGAGGACAAGGTGGGAAGATTGCATGAGTTCATGAGTTCAAGACCAGCCAAGGCAACAAAGTAAGGCCTCATTTCTACAAAACTCAAAAAATTACCTGGGTGTGATGGCACACACCTGTGCTCCCAGCTACATGAAAGGCTGAGGTAGGAGGATACCTTGAGTAAGTTGAGGCTGCAATGAGCCATGCTTATGCCACTGCACTCTCCCCTGGGTGATAGAACAAGTCTGATCTCAAAAAAATTAAAATAAAATATTAGCTGGGCATGGTGGCACTTGCCTAGTCCCAGCTACTTGGGAAACGTGGGGGAGGATTGCTGGAGCCCAGGAGGTTAAGGCTGCTGTGAGCCATGATCTCGCCACTGCACTCAGCTTGGGTGACACAGAGACTCTGTCTCAAAATAAATAAATAAAAATTTAAAAATAGTAAACCTACTACACATTCAACTTAACATTTTTATGGCCAATAACAATATTTTCCAAAGCAAAATAAAAGAAAAATTGGTGAAAAGCGTGGTACTGTTTTACAGTTTTGCAAATCTCCTAATATCTGGGCTTATCAAAGACAGTTGGACCTTCCTATCTGCATCTGTGTTCAATCTGTTGTGCTATCTCAGCTTATGTAGACCCAAGAAAACGGCACTGTAGTCTTGTGAGAATGAGAATGAAATGGGGAGATTAATATCTTAGTATTAGCATGAAAATAGTTTTGACCTTGCCGACCTCCACTAAAAGTCTTGGGGACTCCTGGGGGTACACAGGCCTCGCTCAGAACCTCTGCCTTATGAGTTAGAAACCATTATCTCCATTTTTCAAATGGGAAAACTGAGACAGATCAAGGGATTGTCCAAGGCCATACTGCTAGAATAGCTCAAAGCAGATAAAGTGCAATGAGCATAACAGACTTAACCTCGCTTGTTTGTTGCAAGGATCGAGTCGGATCATGAGTGAAAAGAGCTGGACATCCTGCTTGCCTTATCACAAGTGCCCAATAACATGAATGCTTCACGTTTGGCAAAAGCTCGTAGAAAAGCTGGAGGAACTTCCCACATTTCTGATCAACTCATCACACATATGACACCAGCAAGAAAAAACAAAACTCCACCACAGGTGTTGTCTAGGGGAGTTTTTTTCCCCCTAGACCAGACCTTAGCCCAGGCCTCAGCATGAAAGCTGCCTTTGACGACTAAGAAATGCAGGGCCTTGGCCGGGCGCGGTGGCTCAAGCTTGTAATCCCAGAACTTTGGGAGGCCGAGGCGGGTGGATCACGAGGTCGAGAGATCGAGACCATCCTGGTCAACATGGTGAAACCCCGTCTCTACTAAAAATACAAAAAAAAAATTAGCTGAGCATGGTGGCACGTGCCTGTAATCCCAGCTACTCAGGAGGCTGAGGAAGGAGAATTGCCTGAACCCAGGAGGTGGAGGTTGCGGTGAGCCGAGATCGCGCCATTGCACTCCAGCCTGGGTAACAAGAGCGAAACTCCGTCTCAAAAAAAAAAAAAAAAAAAAAGAAATGCAGGGCCTTATTCCAGCCTTCGTTAGGCAAATGACACTAGTGGACTGGGCACCTGTCACCTTGTTCCTTAGGAAACCTGAGCAAGCCAAGAAAGCTGCTCCATTATTTACAGCATTGTTTTTGCATCCTGCTGTATTTACAAAGAACCTGCAAGAGACAAAAACGACACCTCTAACGTGCGAAGCCAAACTTTTCACAGGAATCAGCATCTGCGGTCTTGCTGGCCTGCTGCTCAGCACTCCAGGGCTCTCCTTGTTAATCAGCTTTCTTAGCCCACGTGGCCCACCCACTCCTGCCTCCAGTGGACCCACAGAGTGCAGGTCACTTCCCTTCTGGGGATTTGGGAAATGGGCCCACACTTAGGGTAAGTGCGACTAGTGATGTTCAGACCACCGCACTCTTAAAAGGCTGTCCCTCGACAGCAGGCAAGAGCAAGAGGAGCCTGAACTACCACTTCCACCCAAGTGCAGGTCACCAGATCTCTCACCAGCAGGGCTGCAGCCGGCCTCAGATTCCAACCTGACCCTCTAACCCCTGTTCTTACACACCCCAGTCCATTCTCCAACAACTACCAAAGGGATCTCTTAAAATTGCCCAACAGGCCAGGCGCGGTGGCTCACGCCTGTATCCCAGCATTTTGGGAGACCGAGGCAGGCAGATCACCTGAGGTCAGGAGTTCGACTCCAGCCTGGCCAACATGGGGAAATCTCGTCTTTACCAAAAGTACAAAAATTAGCAGGACGTGGTGGCACGCATCTGTGATCCCAGCTACTCAGGAGGCCGTGGCAGGAGACAAGAGAATCGCTTGAACCCAGGAGGTGGAGGTTGCAGTAGGCTGAGATCACGCCACTGCACTCCAGACCGGGCAACAGAGCGAGATCCGACTCAAAAAAAAAAAAAAAGTGCACAATGGGTAAGGTCAGTTTTCTGGCAAGGATTCCCCTACTCAGTCGGAAAAAAAACCAAACTTTTTACTTTGGGCTGTAAGAAACCGCCTCACCTGGCAGATGCCCACCTCCCCTCCCCTTTACTCTCTCTAATCCACCTGCAGCGCCCCTCCAGGACCTCCAGCAGCTAGAATGTCATGTCCTTGAAGAGGCTTTGCCAAATCAAAAGTTGTCATTCACCCAGTTGTATTTGAGACTTCAGAGCTCTTCTTACTCTGGAAGTTCTCTTCATTTTACTTGTATATCGCATGCTTCCCTCCCTCCGCATCCCCCTCCTAGAAGGTAAGCTTCCTGTAGAGCAGGGGCTTCGCCTGGTCCCCCGCGGCATCCCCAGCGCCCAGCACCGAGACCCGCACAGACTAAACTCCCGGCAAACGCGGATCGAATGAATGGAGCCGCAACGGCGGATTGCCGTAGGAATCCAGGGCAAGCGATCCTGGCGCGCCCGCGCCATCCGGGGCGGTGGGGCCATCAGAGCGCGCGGTTCGCGGGGCAGGGAGGGACTCGGCCCGCACCCCGTCCCGGACGCCCCAGGTGCCTCCCCGGAGTGCGGACGCCCCCATCGCCCACCCGGCCCGGCGGTTTCCCGGCACTCACCATGGTGACCGTGCCGCCGCCGCCCCCGCGTGCGAGCTAGGAGAGCTGGAGACGCTAGGGCTAGAGGCGAGCGCAGGAGCCGGCGTGGCTGACAGGTGAGGCTTAGACCATGGCTGCTTCCCACAATGCCCTCGCGCTGAAAGTTTGCAGACTCCTCCCAGCGCAGCTGCCTCCTCCCCGCGCGCTCCTCCCCGCTCCCCCCACCCCCACCTTCTTATACTTTCTTCCTTCTCCTTCCTCCTCCTCCTCCTCCTCCTTCTCTTCTTCCCCTCTCCTTTCTGCCTCTCCTGGACCCCCTCCCCGCACCCGCCTTGGCCGCAGCAGTTCCCGCCCCGCGCCGGCTGCACCTGGGGCGAATGCACCTGCGCGCTCCTCTGCACCCCGCCAGCCCGCAGCCCCGCGCAGGTGGGCAGGCGAGAGCGTGTGGCCCGCTAGAAACTCCCTGCGTGGAGAACTCCGGGGACCTTTCGCGATTCGGCCACGCGAGTGTGTCCTGCATTCCTTCCACAAACGTTCATCAGACCTGGCAACGATACCTCCCGATACACTCGCAGAAAGTGTCGGAGGCTGTCTTATCCTGAGCCTCCTAGGGGGGCAGCAGTTGGCAGAGATGGAGCCAGAAGCGATTTCTTATCCCCTCCCGCCCCCATTTCACTTTTTAAAATATAAACTCTACATTCCAAAGGTAAAGATCATTTTAAGTAGGCCCCCAATTTAATTATTTATTTATTTAGAGACGGAGCCTGGCTCTGTCGCCCAGTCTGGAGTTCAGTGGCACGATCTCCGCTCACTGCAACCTCCACCTCCTGCGTTCAGGGTGATCCACCTGCCTCGGTCTCCCAAAGTGCTGGGCAGCACGACCCTTTTAAGAGGTCTCTCCTAAGTTGTGGTGTAGAGGGTTGGCTCTCCAATTTCTCTCCTCCCCTTGATTCTTCTTAAGTCTAGGGATACTGCCTGGGGCACTGAGAATCTCTAAACCCCCAAATTGTAGGCAGAGGGTTTTTTTCTTTTTTCTTTAAATTATATTTACGAGACAGACTAGATGTAAGCAGAGTTTTGAATGCATCTTTCTGGTTTTTGTTTGTTTGTTTGTTTGAGAAAAGGAGTCCACTGGTTTTATCAAATAGCAAAAGAGATCCTAGACCCTACAAAAGTTAAGGATCATTTCCTGAGCCAAGCATAGTGGCTCATGCCTGTAATCCCAGCACTTTGAGAGGCCAAGGTGGGTGGATCGCTTAAGATCAGAACTTCAAGACAAGCCTAGCCAACATGATGAAACCCCGTCTCTACTAAAAATACAAAAATTAGCTGGGCATGGTGGCACACACCTGTAGTCCCAGCTACTAGGGAGGCTCAGTCAGGAGAGAATCACTTGAACCCAGGAGGCAGAGGCTACAATGAGCTGAAATCATCCAGCCTGGGTGACAGAGTGAAATTCAATCTCAAAACAAAAACAAACAAACAAAAAAGTGAATCATTTCCTGGGGAACCCCAAATCAGTGGAAGTGCTTCTCAGAATCTGTTGTGTACCTTCCAAGGGATGTAAGCCCACCCAGGTGAGTGAAAGTAAGTAGAACCCCATCCACCCCTGCATTCACACTGCAAATATTCATCACTCCAGGCCAGGCCCTATAAGAGGAGCCTGGGGAACCCAGCTGGGGACAAACAGGTGGTCTGTCTCCTGGAGCTTACAGTCTCTTGTGGGACAACACATAATAAATAAGTAAATAAAATGTAAGAAATTAAAATGAATGCTAAGAGGGAGATATTTGAGTTCCTGGGATGGGCACAGAGAAGCTATACTGATTTAGTTGAGTGGTCAGGTAAGTGCCCCTGGGGAGGTGACAGGGGACTTGGTTGTGAGAAAAAAAAGTCCTTCTGGAAACACTTCAAAAAAGGCCTCTGTGTGAGTTAAGTGTGAGGAGGTCCAGAGGTGGGTAGGGGCCAGAGGCAATGAGTGTTCTCTAGTTAGGGCATCACTGCAAGCCCCCAGGAGAGCCACAGCCTCCAGCATCAAAGCTCTCAAACACTGGACTTTCAGCATTCTGCCTGGGGCATTGGAAGTTAAACCCCAGGTGATGGGGTGATTTTGCTTCCTGGAAGAAAAGTGAATCTAGGAGTGCTGCTTTTTAACTTCTATATTCTCCCCGCAGGGTCTGTTCCTTCCCTATCTCAGGACTTCATGCTTTATCTAACGAGACAGAGTCTAATCTTTGTGCTTCTCCTCCTTTCTAGGTAACTTAAAGGCAGGGTCCAGCTCTGTGCTACCATCCAGAGCCTTCTGCCCTAAGGGTTTCTTTGCTAGTGGGAAAGAGATGGAATCACTAAAGGTGAAATTCAAAGTTAAAGAAATCTCAGGCCTGGCGCCATGGCTCATGCCTATAATCCCAGCACTTTGGGAGACTGAGGCGGGTGGATCACCTGAGGTCAGGTGTTTGAGACCAGCCTGGCCAACGTGATAAAACCCCATCTCTACTAAAAATACAAAATTATCCAGGTGTAGTGTGAGGTGCCTGTAATCCCAGCTACTCAGGGGGCTGAGGCAGGAGAATCACTTGAACCCTGGAGGCAGAGGTGGCAGTGAGCTGAGATCCCCACTGCACCCCAGCCTGGACAACACTACCAGATTCTTTCAAAAAGAAAAAAAAAAAGCTAAAGAAATTTTCTCAGTCCTCTTGCCATGATAGTTAAGTCAAATATTAGAGCAGGAGAGGCCAGTGGCTAACACCTATAATCCTATCATTGTGGGAGGCCAACGCGGGTGGATCACCTGAGGTCAGGAGTTTGAGACCAGCCTGACTAACATGGTGAAACCCTGTCTCTACTAAATACAAAAAATTAGGCAGGCATGGTGGCACATGCCTGTAATCCCAGCTGCTTTGGGAGGCTGAGCTAGGAGAATCACCTGAGCCCGGGAGGTAGAGGTTCCAGTGAGCCAAGACTGCGCCATTGCACTCCAGTCTGGGCAATAAGAGTAAAACTCCATCTCAAAAAATAAAAACAAAGAAAGCAGGAGAAGTTTCCCTTACTGTGTGGCCCATGGTTGCAGAGGGAGTAATTAAAGATGTGGGGGTGGGGAGGCATTAAACTTAACCATTATTCGTGTCCTTGGCCTTTCCTCCTGGCCTGGCTGCGATGGGCAGTGAATGCCCTCTGAGGCCCCTGCCACCCAGCATTATTCCCTCCAGGTTCTCACGCCACACCTCCAAATCACCTGAAGAGGGAGGCCTGCAGTGAGCTGGACGCTTCTCATGGGTTATCTCAGCTGCCCCCAAGACAATCTTTAAAAAAGGCAGCACTGTGGCCATGGTGTAGATGAGAGCCTGAGGCTCAGAGGCTCAACAGCAATAATAATAAGAGGCAGGCTGGGCACAATGGCTCCAGCTTGTAATCCCAGTGCTTTGGGAGGCCGAGGCAGGAGGATCACTTGAGGCCAGGAGTTTGAGATCAACCTGGGCAACATGGGAAGACCCCGTCTCAATTTAAAAAATAACAGTAATAATAAAATAAATAAGAAGGCAGTAAGAGGCAGAGATAATCTTAGAATCAAGGCACTAAAATTCAAGTTGGTTCCCCTAAAGCCCCGCCCCTGACTGACCTACTCAGAACACAACAGTGTTGGTTTGGTCACTCATTTGTCTCAGAAGAATGCCATGCATGTTTAAGTCTTGACTTCTCTTTTTTTCATTTATTTTTAAATTTTCTGTAGAGATAGGATCTCACAGGCCTGGCACGGTGGCTCATTCCTGTCATCTCAGTTTTTTGGGAGGCCAAGGTGGGCAGATCATGAGGTCAGGAGTTCGAGACCAGCTTGACCAACATGGTGAAACCCCATTTCTACTAAAAATACAAACATTAGCCAGATGTGGTGGCAAGCACCTGTAATCCCAGCTACTCAGGAGGCTGAGGCAGTAGAATCTCTTGAACCCGGGACAGCCAAGATCGCACCACCGCACTCCAGTCTGGGTGACAGAGTGAGACTCCCTCTCAAAAAAAAACAAAACAAAACCAAAAAAAAACTAAGAGAGAGAAAGAGAGAGAGAGAGAGAGAGAGAGAGAGAGAGAGAGAGAGGATCTCACTATATTGCCCAGGTTGATCTCAAGAACCCCTGGCCTCAAGGGATCCTCCTGTCTCAGCCTTCCAAAGTACTAGGATTACAAGTGTGGGCCCCCACACCCAGTCTTAGTCTTGACTTCTGTATCTTATCTTTGCTCTCGTTCAAATTCCTGACTCCACATCAGGCCCACCAGTAGCAAAACCCTAGGGAGGACCCAAAGACCCTATCACCTAAGATGTACCACTATAAGGAGGAGTTCCCTGGTCAGATTCTAAAGGGGCTTTTATATTCAAAATCTACTGCCATAGGAAGACGCTTACAGTGTATTACCTGGTTCAGATTAGGTCGTTTATGAGCTGATTCTATGTGTGTACTCATAAAACAATGCCCTGGGATTTGGTCAACTTGATTTAGGAGTTTCACATCTCAGATCATTCTATGTTTAAATATTAGCAGAAGATGTAGAGAGAATGCAGTAAAAGCCACCATCAAGGCCACAGCAAGGGAAAAGAGTAAATTAGAGACATGATACTAAAGTAAAATAATAATGATCTATAACCCAAAATACTAACTTCCTAGAAATTGAGGAAGATCAAGCTATGAGTTTAAGAAACTGAAGAAGCAAAGGAGAGGCCAACTTCAAAGTCAGCTTACGCAGTGCCTTCACTGGCATTAATTGAAGGCTGGTCCTGCTGTTCTTTAATGCCCTCTTATTAATGTCTTAAGTAATCAACATCTCCAGTAATCCCTTCGGCAGTGTTCAGGAATTCATCTTGTCATGGTGAAACTTTTAGTATGAGGCCTTATGCTCTTTAGAAACCCCCCTTACTTTTCAAAAGATGGCCTATTATTCCAAATGGAAAAACATCTACTTAATCTATTTCTAAAGAATATTTTCAGAATTATTATTATTATTTTTTTTTTTTTTGAGACAGAGTCTCGATTTGTCACCCAGGCTGGAATGCAGTGGTGTGATCTCGGCTCGCTACAACCTTCACTCCCCAGGTTCAAGTGATTCTCCTGCCTCAGCCTCCCAAGTAGCTGGGACTACAGGCTCCTGCCATCACACCAGGCTAATTTCTGTATTTTTGGTAGAGATGGGATTTCACCATATTGGCCAGGCTGGTCTGAAACTCCTGACCTTGTGATCCGTGCGCCTCAGCCTCCCAAAGTGCTGGGATTACAGGCGTGAACCACCGCGCCTGGCCAAAAATTTTAAATTATAAAATAATAAAGGTTCATTGCAGATTTGGAAAGCACAGAAAAGTGTTATTTTAAAACCTCCCTCTAGGCTGGGTACGGTAGCTCACCCCTGTAATCTCAGCACTTTGGGAAGCTGAGGCCAGCAGATCACCTGAGGTCAGGAGTTCGAGACCAGCCTGCCCACCACAGTGAAACCCCATCTCTACTAAAAATACAAAAATTAGCTGGGCAGATTATACACAAAAATTAGTGGTGGCAGATGCCTGTAATCACAGCTACTTGGGAGACTGAGGCATGAGAATCTCTTGAACCTGGGAAGCAGAGGTTGCAGTGAGCCAAGACCACACCATTGCACTTCAGCCTGGACAAAAAAACAAAAACAAAAACAAAAAAAACAAAGCTCCATCTCAAAAGAACTAAAAATAAAAATAAAACCTCACTCTAATTCTACCAACAAGAGGCCAGGCACAGTGGCTCATGCCTGTAATCCCGGCACTTTAGGAGGCTTAGGCAGCCAGATCACCTGAGGTCAGGAGTTTGAGACCAGCCTGGTCAATACAGTGAAACCCTGTCTCTACTAAAAATACAAAACTTAGCTGGGTGTGGTGGCACATGCCTGTAATTCCCAGCTACTCAGGAGGCTGAAGCAGGAAAATTGCTTGAACCTAGGAGGTGGAGGTTGCAGTCAGCCAAGATCATGCCACTGTATTCTAGCCTGGGTGACAGAGCAAGACTCTGTCTCAAAAATAATAATAATATTAATAATAATTCTACCAAGAAATAACTATATTTGGTGTATTTCCTTGCATATTGGTATTCTATAGAGACAGATATATATATATATATATATATATATATATATATATATATATATGTATGTTTAACTTGCTGATGCCTTGATCTTGGACTTCCAGCCTCCTCCAAAACTGTGAGAAATCAATTTCTTTCTTTCTTTCTTTCTTTTTTTTTTCTGAGGTGGAGTCTGGCTCTGTCACCAGGCTGGAGTACAGTGGTGCCATCTCGGCTCACTGCAACCTCCACCTCCCAGGTTCAAGCAATTCTCCTGCCTCTCCTGCCTCAGCCTCCTGAGTAGCTGGGATTACAAGTGTGTGCAACCATGACCAGCTAGTTTTTGTATTTTTTAGCAGAGACAAGATTTCACCATGTTGGCCAGGATGGTCTCAATCTTCTGACCTCATGATCTGCCCCCCTCGGCCTCCCACCGTGCTGGTATTACAGTCATGAGCCACCACCGCCGGTGAGAAATCAATGTCTGTTCCTTATAAATTATCCAGTCTTGGGCATTTGGTTATAACATGAATCACGAACCGACTGAGACATCTATTGTATACGCTGTTTTGCATTTTATTTTTTATTTTATTTTTTTTTAGGTGGAGTTTCGCTCTTGTTTCCCAGGCTGGAGAGCAATGGTGCGATCTCAGCTCATTGCAACCTCTGCCTCCCGGGTTCAAGCAATTCTCTTGCCTCAGCCTCCTGAGTAGGTGGGATTACAGGCATGTGTCACCACACCAGGATAAATTTGTATTTTTAGTAGAGACAGGGTTTCTCCATGTTGGTCAGGCTGGGCTTGAACTCCCAACCTAAGGTGATCCGCCCCCTCGTCCTCCCAAAGTGCTAGGTGCCACCACACCCAGGCCTACTGGGTTTCTTGTAGTAGCATAGCTACGGAACAAATATTGATTGAACAGCTACTCTATGCTAAGAACTGTACTTGGCACTGAGAACAGTGAAGAGAGGAGTTGTGGTCCCTCTTGGGGTGAAAGTATAGTGTTATGGGAGATACAAATATAAAATAAATAATAACATATATAAACGTTTAATTATCATGAATGCTGTGAAAGGAAAGGATAGGACGCTAGCAAACATGTAACAAAGAAATTCCTGGGGGACATTTGCTGTTTGCCTCTCCAGCATCCATTCCCCTGCTTCCTGTAATTTTGAGTTTGTGTTTGGGGACCCAACCCCCACATAAAGTCTTAACTTTAGGGGTGGCACATGATGCTCTCCTGACCAATGAGAATATTGCTTTCCCACAGCAACGATGATTGGTTCTGGTTCTAAAATAGGCAAATTGCCAGAGTCAAATAACTCAAGGCAATAAGACTAAATTCTGGGGAGACAGATTTAAGCATCCAAGCAAGATGTGTGAGGTCAGGCCAACCTGCAGTAAGGGAGGTGCAAGACATCCAGCAACACCACCATGCAGTCGACCTCTCCTCCAGCCCCCTTGGGCTTCAGAAATAATGCTGGGCTGGTGATTGGCTTTCCCTTGGCGACCCCACTGCCTGATGGGCTCGGCCTCGCTTTCACCCCTCCCCTGACACGAGCCTCTCGAGCTTCCGGGCCAGTTGCTCGGTGATTGGCCGAAGCAGTGAGTGGACGGCCGCGGATTGGCCACGCTAAACAGCGGGCTGAGCAACTGGAACCAGGGGAGCAGCTGGGCCAAGATGGTGGCCGCAGAGGGTCCTGTGGGCCGCGGCGACCTGCGGCAGAACTGGCTTCCTAACCAGGTCGTGTTTTTGCAGCTCTGGGAGGGACTGAAAAAGCAGAGCTCAGCCGAAGCTGAGAAACCAGATTCTTCATCGTTGCCTTCGTTGCCGCCGTCGCAGTTGCTGACGAGAAACATGGCCTTTGGCCTCGGCGGAGAGCTCTTCCGGTGGGATGGAGAAGACAGCTCCTTCTTAGTCGTTCGCCTTCGGGGCCCCAGCGGCGGTGGTGAAGGGTCCACCCTGTCCCAGTACCAGAGATTGCTTTGCATAAATCCACCCGTTTTTAAAAGTCATCAAGTCTTGTTAAGTCTAACGCAACATCATGTAGCACTTACAGGAATAAAAGGACTTATGGTATTAGAATTACCTAAAAGATGGGGGAATAATTCTGAATTTGAAGGTGGAAAATCAACAGTTAATTGTACTACAATTGCTGAGAGATTTTTCGCCAATTTTACCTCTCTGACTCTAAAGCATGCCGCATGGTATCCAAGTGAAATGCTGGATCCCCACATAGTGCTGTTAACATCAGACAACGTAAAAGAATTTACTCTACGTGAGCCCCAGGCACTCACTAAGGTGATTATACTTTCAGAAGCTGAAGAGGAAAGTCTAGTACTCAATAAAGGAAGGGTGTATACCGCATCTCTAGGAGAGACAGCAGTTGCGTTTGACTTTGGGCCATTGGCAGCAGTCCCAAGGAATATATTTGGATAAAAAGGCAAAGATGAAGTAGTGGCATACCCACTGTACATCTTATATGAGAATGGAGAGACTTTCCTAACATATGTTCGTCTGTTACACAGCCCTGGAAATATTGGAAAGCTGTTGGGTCCATTGCCCATGCATCCTGTGGCTGAAGATAACTGTGGTTATGATGCGTGTGCTATACTCTGCCTAGGCTGTGTCCTCAATATCTTAGGGGCTCATTGCATCACTATCGATCCCTCAAGGAAAATTGTACCAGTTTCCACTGGTATATGAGAGCCCCTATTTCACCAGTTTCTGCAGTAATGACAACCTATGTGACTCTTGATTTAAGAATAAATTCCAGCTGAGCATGGTTTAATCTCATCCCACATTCTTTCAATCCACTCTCATTAGGCTTCTGCCCTCACACCCCATCAAGCTACTTTTATAAGATTATCAGTGAGATCACCATGAGCTTGTACGGTATGATCCAATGAGCACCACTCAGCCTTCATCTCATTTCACACATAAGCAGCATTGAACAAACTGCTCCTGACCCCCACCAGGAAAAAAAAAAGTGCTGCTTTCTTTCTTTCTTTCTTTTTTAGATGGAGTTTCACTCTTGTAGCCCAGGTTGGAGTGCAATGGCACAATCTTGGTTCGGTGCAATCTTTGTTCACCTCAACCTCTGCCTCCCAGGTTCAAGCGATTCCCCTGCCTCCACCATCTAAGTAGCTGGGACTACAGGTACCTGCCACCATGCATGCCCAGCTAATTTTTTGTATTTTTAGTAGAGACAGGGTTTCACTGTGTTAGCCAGGATGATCTCGATCTGCCCTCATGATCCACCCGCCTTGGCCTCCCCAAGTGCTGGGATTATAGGCATGAGCCACTGCGCCTGGCTGAAACACTGCTTTTGTATCCTCCTTCTACTTCATTGGCCATGTCCTTCTGTCAGTGTTGAATCTCCCTCATCTTCCAAACCGCTACATGCTGTCATATTCACGCTCAGTCTTTGGACAGCTCTCATCTGCACACTCACCCCTAGTTTAGCTGGAACATGGAGTAAGTTAGGAAAGTGGGTGTTTTAAAGCTGCTAGTGTAGGTTGAGACCAATACTTTGAAGAGAACTTACGCCAGTCAAATAATTTAGACAAGGAAGATTTGTCGCAGGGTTTTGAGTCGTGTTGATGAAAAGAGTCAAACTCTGTAAAGTATTTGAAAAGATTTATTCTGAGCCAAATATGAGTGACCCTGGCCCGTGGACACAGTCCTCAGGAGGTCCTGAGAACATGTGCCCCAGATGGTCGGGGTCAGGGTACAGCTTGCTTTGATACATTTTAGGGAGTCATGAGACATCAATCAAATACATTTAAGAAATATGTTGATTTGGTCCAGAAGGGCAGGACAACTCAAAGGCAGGTTGGGGGGCAGCTTCCAATATTTTCTAGTTGACAATTGGTTGAGTTTGTCTAAAGACCTGGGATCAATGGAAAGGAAATGTTCAGGTTAAGATAAAAGACTGTGGAGACCAGGGTTCTTTTGAAGTCTTACAGTGGCTGCCCTTAGAAACAACAGATGACAAGTATTTCCTATTCAGATATTTAAAAGGTGCTAGACTTGGCCAGGCGAGGTGGCTCAGGCCTGTAATCTTAGCACTTTGGAAGGCTGAGGCGGGTGAATCATGAAGTCAGGAGTTTGAGACCAGCCTGGCCAATATGGTGAAACCCCGTCTCTACTAAAAAATATGAAAATTAGCTGTCTCAAAAAAAAAAAAAAATGGTGTTAGGCTTTTAGTTAATCTCTTTGCTATTGGGAGGGCCAGGAAGAAAAAGATCTAGTTATGTTAATAGAGATTCTTTACAGATGCAAATTTTCCCCCACAAAGGACAGCTTTGAAGGACTATTTCAAGATATAGCAAAGAAACATGTTTTGGGGTAAAATATTTTTATTTTCTTCCTTGTCTCATAATGTTATGCCAGAGTCAGGTTGGAAAGTAAGTCATGAGATATGGGGCTAAATAAAACCCAGCTGATGAGAATGTATGGTTTGTAGGACATGACTCTCTAGACCTCTTGGAGAAGAATTTGGGCATGATTTAAAAAAAAAAATCATAGCTTAGTTATCAGTTAGGATGAGGATGGTGGGGGCAGGGTACAGGGCAAGCAGCTGGAACAAGGCTGTGCCTGGGAGAGATCACCATGAGAAGGTATAAGGCCGCAGGGCATAGGGACATAATGCAAGAAGAAACTGTTCTAACAGGTGCGAGCCCAGTTGGGTTAGACTTTAATTGTGTTTTTTTTTTTTTCAGATTTGAGAAGAAGATGGTCATCTGGCCAAGAAATTTAGAGTCTGTATATAACTTAATTCATAGACACGTGCACAAGTACACACACACATCCACCCACAGAAGAGACTTCGAATTCCTCAAACATTCCATTCCTATAGGTTGTGGCTCTTATCACCTATTGAAATTAATCACTAGGGAAGGCCAGTATACAAATTCTTGAGTTGTTTCCATTTCTACATGAGCATGTTTACAACATACTTTCCAGGAAGTCAGGATTTATGAAAAGAGAGGTACGAGTTCAGAGCCAGAGCCATGGTGGGTGCCAGACAGATCCCTAAGGAAAGTGCAAACGCCAGCAAGCCAGATGCCACAGGTTTACAGTCACCAGGGATGTGCTCTGCAGTGGATGCCTTGAATAGGTCCCTCCTATTGCCCTTTTCAGGAAAAGGCTTGGACTGCCAGGCCCCAGGTCCATCCACAAATTACTTTTGTCCATTATCGCTAAAGACCACAGATTCATTAAAATGAAACAAAACATAGCTACATACATATCACCGAGGGGGGTTCTGCCTTACTGTTTCTTCATGACATCCTGAAGGATTTGTGTAGACATAGCACAATGTGAAATTGTGAGAATGTAAAATTTATTAAAGAATGAAGTAGGCTGGGCGTGGTGGCTCACACCTGTAATCCAAGCACTTTGGAGGCCAAGGTGGGCAGATCACCTGAGGTTGGGAGTTCAAGACCAGCCTGATCAACATGGTGAAACCCCATCTATATTAAAAAATAAAATAAAATAAATAAAAAAAAAGGAATGAAGTAAATATACCTAGAGTCACTTTCATCTTCTGCACTAGGGGTTTAATGGTATCTTAATCCAGATAACCTATCATATTAGTCCATTTTCACGTTGCTGATAAAGACATACTTGAGACTGGGCAATTTACAAAAGAAAGAGGTTTAATAGGCTTACAGTTCCATGTGACTGGGAAGACTACACCATCATGGTAGAAGGTGAAAGCCATCTTTCACATGGTGGCAGACAAGAAAAGAAAGCTTGTTCAGGGAAACTCTAAGCAGCAAAGCATTCAAGAGGTGACTTAGGTGCTATTGAAAGCATTCAGTTTTAAAAGAGAAACAGCATAAATGTTTGGAAAATTTGCAGCCTGATGATGCCACATGATAGAAAATAAAAATCAGTTTTCTAAGGAGAAATTCAAGCTGGCTGCAGAAATTTTCATAAGTAATGAGAAGCTAAGTGTTAATCGCCAAGGTAATAGGGAAAATGTCTCCATGGCATGTCAGAGACCTTCGAGGCAGCCCCTCCCATCATAGGTCTGGATGTGAGACATGGAGTCAAAGGAGATCATTTTGGAGCTTTAAGATTTGACTGCCCAGTTGTGTTTCCGGACTTTAGCCTTTTCATTTTGGCCAATTTCTTCCATTTGGAATGGGTGTAGTTACTCAATACCTGTACCCCCATTATATCTAGGAAGTAATTAACTTGTTTTTGATTTCATAGGCTCATAGGTAGAAGAGACTTCCCTTGTCTCAGATGAGACTTTGGACTGTGGATTTTTTTTTTTTTTTTTTTTTTTTTGAGACAGAGTCTCAAGAGTCTCACTCTGTCACCCAGGCTGCTGGAGTGCAGTGGCACGATCTCGGCTTACTGCAACCTCTGCCTCCTGGGTTCAAGCAATTCTCCTGCCTCAGCAGGAGGCTGGGATCACAGGCGTGCATCACCACACCCGGCTAATTTTTGTATTTTTATTAGAGATTCGTTTTCACCATGTTGGTCAGGCTGGTCTTGAACTCCTGACCTCATGATCTGCCCACCTCGGCCTTAAAAAGTGCTGGGATTACAGGCATGAACCACCACACCCAGCCTGGACTGTGGACTTCTGAGTTAATGTTGAAATGAGTTAAGACTTTGGGGGACTATTGGGAAGGCATGATTGGTTTTGACATGAGAGGACATGAGATTTGGCAGGGACCAGGAATGAAATGATATGGTTTGGCTGTGTCCCACCCAAATCTCATCTTGAATTGTGGTTCCCATAATACCCATGTGTTGTGGGAAGGACCCAGTGGGAAATAATTGAACCATGGGGGCGGTTCCCCCATACTGTTCACGTGGTAGTGAGTAAGTCTCCCAAGATCTGTTGTTTCGGTAAAAGCATTTCCGATTTCACTTGGCTCTCATTCTCTCTTGCCTGCTAGCATGCAAGACATGACTTTGCTCCTTCTTTGCCTTCTGCCACGAATGGGAGGCCTCCCTAGCCATGTGGAACTGTGAGTCAGTTAAGCCTCTTTCCTTTATAAAATACCCAGTCTTGGGTATGTCTTTGTTAGCAGCATGAGAATAAACTAATGCAAAATGCTAGATTGTCTTTACAAAAAAAAAAAAAAAAAAAAAAGGAGTGCATATTCAAAGGAAAAGAGGACTTTTTCAGAGGGTGGGGGAGATGGAGTCTGGCTCTGTTGCCCAGGCTGAAGTGCAATGGTGCAGTCTCAGCTCACTACAGCCTCTGCCTCCCAGGTTCAATTGATTCTCGTGCCTCAGCCTCTTAAGTAGCAGGGACCACACCACTCACATCACCACAATGGTTAGATTTTTTTGTATTTTTAGTAGAGGTGGGGTTTTATCATGTTGACCAGGCTGGTCTCAAACTCCTGACCTCAGGTGATCCACCTACCTCAGCCTCCCAAAGTACTGGGATTACAGGTGTGAGCCCCCATGCCTACCAAAAGAGGACAATTTTGTCTGTGTGATTATGCAAAGCCTGCCCTAATGGCTATTGAATTATTTTCTTTTCTGAGACAGGGTCTTACTCTGTCACCTGGGCTGGGGTGCAGTGGTGCAATCTTGGTTCACTGCAGCCTTGACCTCTTGGGCTCAGGTGATCCTCCTACTTCATCCTCCTGAGCAGCTGGTACCACAGGCACCCACCATCCCACCTGGCTAATATTTTTTTCTTTTAATTTTTTGTAGAGATGGAGTCTCACCATGTTGCCCAGGATGGTCTCAATTCCTGCGCTCAAGTAATTTGCCCATCTTGGACTCCCAAAGTGCTGGGATTACAGGCATGAGCCACTGCACCCAGCCTGAATCCTTAACAATAATCTTTGAAATCTGCAAATAGACATGATTTACTTGGCATCATCAAACAAGATTTATCAGGTCTTTCTTTCAGAACAAAGCCCAGTCATAATGACAATCTGGTTAAAGGCTAACTCATCTAAAGATACGTGGTCCAGGGAGGAGCAGCTCCTGAGTTTCTCATCTGGTCTTACTGAATATGAAGTACTTGAGCAAAGCATGTTGATGGTTATCACGGCTACATCAAAGAGGAAAAACCATGGCATGCAAACGCACCTGAGATAGGGGCTGGCAGTTATAGTCCCAGTCAAAAGTGCAGTATTGGTTGGAATAATGGGTGCTAAGACTTAAAGCCATTAGAGCTACCAGAATGTGTTCCCATGTGAAGACCAGCTGTTGATTTGATCCTACAGTCAGCAGTGGTTGACTTGCCTTTCCCACTCAGGGTCTTGGTTTGAAAGAATGGGCATCATTCCTGACTGCTGCATCCCACTCTTATCTGAGTTTTGCTACCATTTACTTACCACCCATATGCATCCTGCTTTGGAAATCTGAATGCTCAAACAATCACCACACTGTAAAAAGTGCTTGGGCCAAGCTCAGTGGCTTATGCCTGTAATCCCAGCACTTTGGGAGGCCAAGGCAGGTGGATCACTTGAAGTCAGGAGTTTGAGACCAGCCTTCCCAGCCCAACATGGTGAAACCCCGTCTCTACCAAAAAAAGTACAAAAATAAAATTAGCTGGGAGTGCTGGCATGTAACTGAAGTCCCAGCTACTCAGGAGGCTGGGGCATGAGAATTGCTTGAACCCAGGAGGAAGAGGTGGTAGTGAGCTGAGATCATGCCACTGCACTCCACCTTGGCAACACAGTGAGACCATGTCAAAAAAGAAAGAAAGAAGAAAAAGAAAGAAAGAAAAAAAGAAAGAACAAAAGAAAGAAAGAAAGAGAAAAAGAAAGAAAAGAAAAAAAGGGCTTATGGCTATTTGATATATTCAATGGCCTAGAACTCCAGAAGGTGTAGGTAATGTTGATAAATAGCTCAATACAATGAAGTGATGTTTGGGGCTCTGTTTAGAGCTGGGTAGGAGAGAGCTTCATACATGGAAGGTCTTTAGTTTGGTCTGAAGCTTGATGGTATCACACATTGCTAACCCCCTAGCCAACATACTGTACTTCATAGTTGCTGTTAAATTTCAACATCAGCCAGAGAATCATTAGTTGGCCCTGGTGCTCCTGATGAGTAATCTTTGGTTTTGTAGCTTTTAGATGAACTCCCTATGTAATCCTATGACCATGTGTAGTCTCAGCATAAGTGCAGTCACTAGATAAATGTATATATTGGGCAAGGGACCGAACCTCAAGGACGGTGATTCAAAATCCATAGCACGGTTGGGGCTTGGAGGGTTGGGAAGGGCAGAAGACAATTAGTCACCTAGCCCTTAAGTGAGTTGGCAAGTGAAACGTTTGAGAGCTAAGCACTACCAGGGTAATGTGCGTTCATAGCCGTGTGCTGAGCCCTGGATTGTCTTACAGGAGGAGAGAGGCATCTGCAGCCAGAAGCTTTCAACACTGGTCCAGCTTTTCCTACCAGCAAAGTGACTTTGGGCAAGATACTTCACTTCATTGTGCCTCCGTTTCCTCATCTGTAAAATGAAGATAATTTTTATGCCTTTTAAAGATGCTGGTAGGATTAGTCAGTACTCAATAAAAGCAGCTGTTATTACTACTAATGTCAGAGGTGGTTTGTTTGTTTGTTTGTTTGTTTTTTGAGACAGAGTCTCTGTTGCCCAGGCTGGAGTGCAGTGGCATAACCTCGGCTCACTGCCTCCCAAGTAGCTGGGATTACAGGCACATGTCACCATGCTCAGCTAATTTTTGTATTTTTAGTAGAGATGGGGTTTCACCATGTTAGCTAGTCTGGTCTCAAACTTCTGACCTCAGGTGATCCAGCTGCCTCAGCCTCCCAAAGTGCTGGGATTACAGGCGTGAGCCCCATGCCCATCCATCAGAGGTATGTGAACCCAAGCGACTCCATCTTGAATAGGGGCTGGGAAAATAAGGCTGAGACCTCCTGGACTGTGTTCCCAGAAGGTTAGGCATTCTTACTCACAGGATAAGATAGGAGATCAGCATGAGATAGAGGTCACAAAGACCCTGCTGATTAGACAGGATGCAGCAAAGAAGCTGGCCAAAACCACCAAAACCAAGATGGTGATGAAAGTGACCTCTTGTCATCCGTTCTGCTCATTATATCCCAGTTACATTAACATGCTAAAAGGCACTCCCACCAGTGCCACGACAGTTTACAAGTACCATTTGTAAAGTTACCCTATATAGAAGTTATCCTATATAGTCTAAATGACATAGTCTATAGAGTCTAAAAGACCTTATACAGAAGTTACC